TATAATAGGAGCAGTAGACCTATTGATCGAAGGTGTTGCATGAATAACAACAAATTGTTAGAAATGACTTTGACGATCATCTTGAAATAACAAAGCCCTAGTTTCAATAATGAGGTTTTGATATTTTCTTTCAATAGTACCATTATGTTGTGATATGTAGAGACAAGTAGTTTGATGAATTATTCCTTATATCATTTGGAACTAAAGTCCATTATCAATCTTGATGGTTTTAATATTAGATTTGATTGGGTATGTTTATATGATAGAACGAGTATTAGATTTATGCTTCATTGGATAAATCTAGGAGGGCCTTGTATAGTCATCTGCAATGATAGAAAATAATGGTGACAATTTAGTGAAGCTACAAGAGGCCGTTAGTGGTATTGAGTTGCTGATTTTTCCTAGATGCTCTAGTCTGTAGACCCACAAGGAAATTTGATTCCGGTGACATAAAATGCAATAAAAGGAGAAGTTTTAGTTCAAATCGATCGTTCTGAGTGGTTGATAAAACATATGATCAATGTTGCAGCTTAGTTAGAAATCATCTTCAAAAATGTTGTAATCATATACACAATAGAAGAAAAGGTGGAAGCATTTTTAAAAAAATAGAATGTTTCTTCAACAATTGACTCACTAAGAGTAGGTTAAAACAAAAATTTGATACATATAGAACATTGTGCATAAGTAAGGACTGGAAACAATGAAATGTACCAATTGTAGTAGCATACATGCACTTTATGTCATGTTGTAATATGCACATATGAATTGGTAATAGGTCTATATTAGGTGAAATAACCATAGAGAAAATTATGTGATAAGTGGCTCCAATGTCCATGAGCAATGTGGGATGCCACCGAGCAAGCTGAAGAGATCTTTGTCAATCAGTGTCTGAAGAACTAGTAGGTTGAGTTGGATTTTAGCAGCTGAAGAGATCTTTGTCCATCAGTGTCTGAAGAACTAGTAGGTTGAGTTGGATTTTAGCATTATCCTGGAAGGCTGGAATTGAGTAGGGTAGTATGGTTGGGTGTGATTTGTAGTGGGTGGACTAGTCAACTGATTTGCATATTCTTGTTGCATGACTTGAAGCATTATGTGGTACTAATGTTGGAATTTATTCCAATTAGCCTATGTAACCATAATAGGATTGGAAGATTCACCATGTTTCACTGTCATACTATTAGCATTGCAAGAATGCTTTTTTTTTCATGGATCGATACCCAGGAGGATGTACATTTTTCTTGTAACAAACCTCTTCAGTGTGGCTAGAGTCCCACAAAAATTACAAGGATGTTTTTTGCCTTGTTTCTCGAAGCCCTTTCCAACATCTTGCAATCTAAGTGTTGAACAATGACTCCAGTAAAGAAAGCCATGGAATTCGTGGCATGATTAGGCTTATGGACATTAGAAGGTTAGGGTAAGAAGTCATTCTCGCGTTCATGTTGGATCATCATTGCAAACACCTTATTGAGAGGTGGGAGAGGATCTACCAACAAAACTATTAGGTGATGTCCAAAAAAACTATCATTGAGTTTTCTAAGAAACCTAATGACTTTTTCATTCATGTGATTCTTTCTAAGTGGGTAAGAATGCACACACACATTGGTTCACATTCACAATCTGGAATGAATATGTATTTGCCTAATTGATCCCATAAAGAATGTTGTTTAGAGAAGTATAGGAAAACATTTAAAGTATTGTAATTTAGTGCAAAGATTGGCTCTTGGAGTCCAGCAATACAGATAGAATCGCCTTGATAAATTTGCTCTCGAGCTCGTTCAAGACGCAAAGGGCGGTGGTGATGTAAAGAATGGCGTCCGCGATTATCGAATTGACAAATTGTCGAATCCAATTGAGCATGAGCTTATTGTTGTGGCTCCATGGTTCATATAGTGGAGAACCTTCACGGGGAGTGGAGATCTTCCCATTGAATAAGCCTAGTTTGCTCTTGCCATCAAGAAAGAGGATCATCGATCTCTTCTATTTGGAGAAATTCGACTTTGTAAGTGGGTGAGAAACCAAGCACTGCCCCAATTCTCACTTGGATGGATGAAAAATGGGTTGAATGGATCGAAAATTGGCACATTATTGTAGCATATCATTGTTGCATTGACAGATGATCTCCACTGTGAGGAATTTCGTCAGATGGATGACATTGTTGCAAGAAGTAAAAAGAAATTATAAAATTCGTAATAGGAGGACGGTTATAAGGTTAGTAGAAGAAAATAGGGGAAACTAAAAATGGAAGCGAGAGAGGAAGCATTGAGCATAGTGAATCTCTTATACCATATCATAAATTGGCTAATTTTCTATCAATCATCAACTTGAAGGAAAAATGTGACTAGAGGTTCGTTAATGACTGGCTTATATACAACGGATTGGAGGAGAGGAGAGAGAAAGAATGACAGAAGTCATTGAGCACGACACAGTCTCAAATCTCAATGGATAGAAAGGAAAATTACGTATGAGTATCTAAACCTAATATATATGTAACTAATTAGTCCTAACTACTTACATTCTAAATCTCGTAGCCATATGCGTAAGAGAAACCCAACCTTAATACTACTTAAAAAATGTACGTTGGTGAGTAGTATTCTTTTCCCAAAGCAAACGACAAAGGTTTGTTGCGTACAAAGACACCACCCAATGAAAGTTCTTTATGTTTTCCGATTAGGTAAATAAATATTCCGCAACATATATACTACTATAGTTCCCCTTTCCACTTTGCTCAATCATGACTAGAAGAGCCAAAAAGGTTGGCGCTGCTAAACAGCACGTCAAGTCCAGTATTTTTTATTTTTTTTGGAGAAATGTCATGTCTAGTAAATTAGTAATACGACTAGTCCAAGTTTAACAACAATGAAATGAAACTAGCTAATAAGATACCGTGCCAGCCAATTACAATAACTCAAAGTGTAGTACGTCGTCGTATATGATAATTTTTAGTGTATATCATATTTTCGTCAACAAGACAGATTTACCATACTCATGTCTCTTTTCTATCGGCAAGACAAAATGCATATCTCAAATCCTAAGGCCACACAATCAAATTTCGTCAACTGACGTCACCGTCTCGAATCTGAACAACTGAATCACATTCTAATACCATTTATTGAAACTTAATATTTCATTAGTATTATATTGTCTATTTTAGAACTAGTCCGCATGATTTTACTTTTGAATTTATTCCCAAAAGTCCTAATACTAATTATTAATACAAACGAAAGAATAATAAAGCAAGCATGCAGCATGGTACTAACTAAAGCGTGAAATTAGTAATGTGATGAGAGTAAGTTCATTGCACCCATTCATCAATCAAAGATAAAAATAAATAAAATTCCCTTGGTGACAACTGTGTGATGAGTTAATTTCATGAGTAATTATTTATCAGTGTGTGAGAAGATTATTAAACGACTAGAAACAAAGGATTAGAATTTAGGGTGCCTAGAGTGGGAGCTAGCCGTCGGTGAAAAGTTACATACCCCAATTCCCCGGCCGACACTAGAGAAAACTTTCTTTAATTTGGGTTAGTGTTTTTTGTAAGGCATAACAAGAGATAAAGAATTCGAAATTTGGAGCAGTAGGTAGGCTCATATAGCAGGCACATTTAAGCTATATATTCATTTGTGGAGAGAAAGATGTAACATGATCAATTCATGAACAAGAAGGGAGCATATGGTGATGTTGAAATCATAAAGTTGGAGATTCAAGCTGAGTAATTTCTCTAGGAGTGGCTATACGGTCCGGTTCGGTTAAATTGGCCCGAATTGATTGGTCCCGGTCCGGTCTTTTCGAGAATATAATTAAGGACCAAAAATTGGATTGGATACAGTCCGGTCTTGAATCGGTCTGGTCCCAATTTGGTCTTGATTTTATATTGAGCTTGTGGGGATTTGAGTGGCTTGAGGGGGGGATTTGAGTGGCCTAAGGCATGAAAGAGTGAGTAGGTTAAATTTTGGGTGTTGGCTCTCTTATCCGGTCTTTATCCGATTTTTTGTCCGGTCCCAAACGGTTTATTTACCTCAAATCTAGGCCCGAAGATTGGATTGAATTGTTTGCTATTCGATCTCGGTCCGGATTATATAGTCCGGTTTCAGGTAAAACCAAAAAACCTAGACCAAATAGCCAGCCCTAAGTTTCTCGGTCTCTGGTTTTTGTTTGGGGTTGATAAAAATTTGATATATGTTTTTAAACTTTAATACATAGTGTTGAGCTAGGTTTATATGTATCCTATTTGCAGAGGTATTCCTAGCTGACAAGAATGTTATCAACGTTTTTTTTTTTAATCAAATATGAAATACCCGATTCAAAAAAAAAAAAAAAAGGAGTTAGAGACCATCTATGCTGTAATTCTTTCAAAACACACATTAACGAATCCATGCTTAAAAATTAAAAAAATATAACTCTAAAATTGAGTTGAAATTCCAAACTTGAGCTAAATTAATGCAATAGTAACAAACACTCTCTTTTATTGATGTATTCTGATACACACCATATCTATGGTGTATTACAGATTTCGGATTTATAAGGAAGATAATGATACGAGTTTGTAACTCCTAACATATGGGCTTGCAAGGCATACAAATGGATTAAAGTGGGTTATAGATATTGTGTGAGGTTTGAAAACTACGTATTTGACTTAATTGCAAGTTTGGTCACTCGAATTGCTATAAAATTTCACGTTTGCCACTGGAATTAATTTATTCCATTTATAGTCACTCGAATTAGTTGAACAGTCCAAGTTCGGTCACTCTCCATTAACCTTCGTTAGACTCCGTTAATGACACAGTCAACACATTTTAACATTAAAAAAAGACGACCCGACCCGCCAGCTCAGCCTTACCCGCCCTGTCAACCATTTTTTGCCCAACCCGCGAACCAACCGATTCAACGGCCATCCACCCGTCGTCGTCGCCTCCTCATCTTTCATTCATCAACCATCCACCTGCCGCCCTCGCCCTATTCTTGATACGTCTCCTCTCTCGCTCTTTTCTTCTTCTCTACCTTAAATTCGCGAGCAAGAGTATCGATCGATCAGGAAGAAGAATTAGAGGCATTGAATCAATCATTCAATCGACGCAACTACTCTCTCCCTCGTCTTCTACTTACTCGCTCAGATCCGGCGAAGAGTGATATCAGAAATGGCGTCAACGTTCAGCGGCGACGAGACTGCTCCTTTCTTCGGCTTCCTCAGAGTCGCATCCGCCCTCGTCTTCTCCTGTAATTTTCGGAACCTTTCTATTTCCGATTTCCGATTCAGTTACTATAGATCTATGAGGATTAATCTTGGATCTGCGGTTGCGCTCGTGTAATTTGTTGTTGCAGGCATGGGAGCTGCATATGGCACGGTGAAGAGCGGGGTTGGAGTGGCGTCGATGGGGGTGATGAGGCCCGAGCTGGTGATGAAATCCATTGTTCCGGTGGTTATGGCTGGTTTCGAGCAGGAAGTGTCGAGCATGAAGCAGAAATGGGTCGAATCCACCGACCCAATGAACCCTTGCATATCGTTGAACGCGCGAATTGCTTGGCGGGTGAATCCGGCGGTGATAGCCGCCGAATGAGGACGGAGAAAGTGGTGAAATTGGGCTGGGAATCTGAATCCTCGTCGTTTTGCTGCCCCATCTGGATGATTAGCTGCCAACAAACGTCGAATTGGTGAACCTTCGCGAGGATATCGATCATGAGGTTGTAAGCGGCGGAGGTGGCCGTAGAAGAAGGGAGGGAGAGAGAGTAGTGGAAGAGGGATAGGGCGATCTTGGAGCTGTGGCGGAGACGGATTAGGGTCTGGTGGAGGAGGGAAGGCGTGAGCGAGATTCCGTTGAGCTGGAGGCAGGATTCCATGGCGTGGAAAGGTTTGTGGTGGTGGAGGAGCATCTGCGAGAGCAGTTCGGCGTCGGCGGATGGTTCGAGTGTGGGGAGCTCGGAGGTGACTGCGGATGCAGAGAAGTTGCGACGGCGGAGGAGGAAGGTAGTGGTGGCGAGGGCTCGATCTCTATTTATTTTTCAGGGGGGTTGTGTCTCGGGTTTGGGTTTGGGTCAATTAATTGGGTTGGTTTGTGGGTTGGGCAAGAAGGGCTGACATGGAGGGTAAATATGACGTGGCGGGTCGGGTCGTCATTTTTTAGTGTTAAATTATGCTGACTGTGATTTTCTGTTAGCCACGTCATCACTTAACGGTCGTCATTAACGGAGTCTAACGGAAGTTAACGGAGAGTGACCGAACTTGGACTATTCAACTAATTCGAGTGACTATAAATGGAATAAATTAATTCGAGTGGCAAACATCAAATTTTATAGCAATTCGAGTGACCAAACTTGCAATTAAGCCCTACGTATTTGTATCTACAAATTCATGATTAGCTAATAACATGCGAGCAAGGTTGTCAACCAGCGGGTCGATCCACTTTGATCCTGATTCAGTGAGAAAAACGGGCCATACGCACTCGTTGGGTCGACCGCTATAAGGTACCGAATTGGAGGTCAAATTGTGTCATTTTTTGTTTGTTTGTGAAATGCGCCTATTTTTCGATTTTTCTTTTCGCCTAACTCAATCTTTGGAATCCTAAGTTGAACATTTGAATATTGATGTTATATAAGTGTGTGTGAATTTTCACTATATGTTGGATCTAAGTACGACATGTTATTTTGGTGGAATATTATATGTTATAACTCATATGTTAGATGAGATTTGATATAATTTATCAGGATAAGTACAATATAATTACTCTTTCTATATTTTCGGGCTAAACTGGACTAAAACGGGTGATCCCTTAACCCTTGACCCACTACTCGACCGGATCCGGGTCATGCGACACACACCCGGGATATGAATGATATGATAAACTTCCTTATTTATCGTCTATCAATGTGTAGTAATGGTATCAGATACATTTATGTGCCTCTTAATATGATATCAAAATTTATAACGTCTCCAGTTGTGGAACATTAATATACACACGTTCATAAGTAAACACGATACAAAATTTGTTCTTGAAATTCTCTAAATTTTTATGATGAAATCATTCTCCAAACAAAAAGTTATGGCCACAGAAAGAAGTGCAATACAAGTTGAATTTGTTTTTTATTTTCCCCCTAACAACAACACAAATCAACGTATCTTCAGCATTTGGTTATAAACAATCAATAGAACTGGCAAATTGGAAAACCACGTACAAGAACGGGACGATGGTGGACTAAAATAATAGGAACCGGCCTGATCGATCCGTGAGGGTTCGCAGACTCTAATAAGGAGGGCCGTTAATGAGAGAAATCGAGATTCGCCTCGTTCAAGTTTGACTTGTTTATGAATGAGTTAAGTCGAGTCGAATACGAGCTAGTTTATTTATTAAATCTTGACTCATCATTAAGATCAAAATTAGTTCGACTCGAATTCAACTCTAAGATAATTTATAAAAAATATTCTAATATTTATATTTCATGTATGATACATATGATTAATTGATCTCATGTCATATATGAGACATATCTACTCACACACTCAAAGTATTAAACACCATATGAGGTTATATACAATTTAATAAATCTATGCATCATTAACAAACCAACTCATACGATATAGGTCAGGGGCGGACCCAAGTGGGTGAAAGGGTTGTCAATTGACAAACCTTGGATCCAATTTGGGAAACCAAAACCACTGTAAAATTTTGTTTTAGTGATTATAGTATTCAAATGTAAGATTATTTGACAACCCTTAATAATTTTGATCTATGGTTGAATACCCTTGATTACATTTTTGGGTCCGCCACTGATATAGGTCGATTTTCTCATAAGTCGTAATCGACTTGGCTCGCTAGTAACAATGTTGAAACATCTCATGAACTCAATACGAGGCAGTAAATTAGTTGAACTCAACAAACCACCTAATCGAGATAGTTCACGATCACGAGCTGAACAAGACTGAGTTCAAAATCAGCTCGTTAATAAACAATTCGAGCTTTTCTCGTATCAAACGAAATTTTATCCAGTTGATAACCGAACCACTCGCGAATAACTCTAATCAAACTAAGCCATGGGCTCCCCAGTTCCGAACCTGGACGGCGGACGCTCCATTTCGCAATCTCGTGTGCCGTCGATCGTCGCAGACATATAAACAAAATAACAATCATAGAGCCAATTTGGCCACTGGGCTCGCCGGCTGGCTCGTGTGGCTCTTCTTCTGCTCTTTCTTTGTGGGTCCCACTTTCTCCCTTACTTGGACCCACAGATGGTCTATTTTACGAGTCTCGAGGACAGTGCCATGTCAGCTGCCACTCTGACACGTACGTGGACGGGATAACGGTATTCTTCGACTTCTGTGCTCATATTAACCTCCTTCTCCAGCTTCATTATTGGGCCACGTCACTCTCCATTCTCCACCGTGGATCCCTGCCGTTTTGATCCTTCCCTGAACGGCGGTACTAGCTTGTTTGTAGTAGCATTCAGAAAATGAGTCGCTTCAAAACTGATCAATTCAAAGTTCTTTCATGTTGAATTTATCTATCTACATTTTTTATTGACAAAGGTTACTTTAATTGTCTCAAAACGAGACAATTATGTCAAGTTGATTCGTTACAGTTCCTCATCTAAACGATCCTGGGTCACTTTCAATAAAATCATCTTATGAACGTTTTGATTTATGTTTAGGAACACATGATTCGAATTACGTTGGCACTTGGTAATTAAAACGTGTAAGAAGTCATCAATTATTATTAATATATGTGGATCAACTGAGTATAAATCAATCTCAATCTTTCAAATGGATTAGTGGATACTTAGATTGAATGTTCTCCACACGTTTCACCCATCACCATTTTTAATATATGTAAAAATTGAAAAGTTGCGAGCGGGAAGTAACTACATTATCCTTAGTATAGTCAATACATTTTATGTATGATTTTACTCGATTTAATACTGTCTTGTGCGTGACTTGACTCGTCTTATGCCTTCTCCTTATAACTCACAATTTATCCATATTCCCCCAATCCACAAATGAATCATCAGAAACTTAGATTACCAAATATAATTCACATAATAGTCAATTATTGTCCCTCACAATTGGAATCCAATTACCAACATTTATTAAGATCCAATTGACCAGCTTGTTTCTTATCAATTGAAATGGCCGGCCTTCCCCTAATTCCTGCATATATTCCCCATATCTGCCCGCAAAATTTGTCCTAGCCAGAAAACAAAAAATGGCAAATTTCCAACATCAATTTTATGTCTCCCCCAACACAAAATCTTTCTTAAGTATGTTATTTTCCTCTTTTTTGATCCGATCACAATCACATCAAAAACATTAATTGATCGATTTCGTTCATGCAAATTTATAATACAAACAACAGTTGTTTGTGGGTGCTGTGTTTTGTTTCAACTTTGTTATGATTTTGGAGATGTTATTATTGGTTAAGAACATTGAACTATATTTCAGTGGTTCCTAGAGCTAATAATAATATTTAATCATATAATCCTTAAATCCCAACATGGGTAGGGTATTATTGAGATTAATGGGGCTAATAATAATAATAATAGTGACTTCTCATAAGGCAAGGAGATACATAGGTGCACTCCCCCTCTCCCTTTCCTTCTCTACCAAACTTATAACATGCAAAAATTAGAGAGGACCCCATAAACCCCTTCATTGCCCCCATTTTGACCATTAATTCTGCCTTTCCTACTCACTTGCCCTCTCTTTTCCACTCAAAAGGACTCAAGATGTATTGTTAGCTAGCTCAATGGAGGTGGAACTTGTCAATTTCAAGATTTAAAGTACCCAATGGTTTGCTTACTAATTGGTAGTTCTCTTTATAAAGGAAAGAACCAAATTAAACCTTGAGTTACTCCATCGTTAATGTGTTGTAAACTTACAAAAATCTTATGTGATCGGTAGCATAAGAACGATTTATGTATGGTTTGTAATGTGCACATGTTCGTGGAGTCCTCTTCCGCCTTGTTTACAATTAGGATTCTATATACTGCACTTTACATTGCGCACAAAGCCCTAGAGATGGAAAATGATGTGGAACGACCCAACTTTTGGGTTTAGGGTGAACCAAATATCGATGTATTGTTTCGTTTATATTTTAAGGGTTAAGTAATTTTTGCTTTCACTCCATTTAATCCTTGGAAGAAGAAAAAAAACATACTAATAGAATTGAATACTAACTAACTGTAACTGAATTAAATACACATCTTCTATATGAAATATTCCGACCAAATTCCTGTATAAGCTTTATATCAATTCCATATCGAATCGAACCATGTCAACTTATAATGTCAAAAAAAAAATTATGCTTATTAGTATCATGTTTACTCAAAACATAGTGACAACTAACTTAATGAGTACATTTTTGTAAGAATGGGTTGTGAGAGTAAAGTGGAGAGAGGATTACATAGTTAATTAGTGGGTGATTAAGGGGGAGGGTGGTGGGGCCTTTGTGGCAGTTTTTTTCTAGGTGTGGGTTATGTTTTTATTTAAAGAAACTTTTGAGGGGGATGGGGCATCCTTGCACATGGGTAGTGGTCAGAAATTGGAGAGTATATAATAAAAATTTGTTGGTGTTAAGAGGGGAGTATATTTTAAGGGCAAGGAAATGAGGGTTGAAGCCAAAGCCCAAAAGCATCTTTTTGTTTCCCTTCTTATAGTTCAATGGTTGGTTTTGCTTTGAGTTCTTACTTCGTGCGCCCAAAGAAGTACATATGATCCTTATTATCTCGCACGGATGTACTCCAACGAATTGATGATCACCAAATTAATCTTCCTACTAACCTTCGAATTGGTTAAGATTCTTATTAATTAATCTCTTATTCAGCTAATGAAGTCATATCATTGATGTAAACAAGGACATACC